TATATATATATATATATAATACATCATAAAAATTTTCACTTTTCGTGTTTCTGCTCTAAAAAAAATTACATGATCGGTACTCTGCCCTATATGTCACTAGTATGTCAATATTAAGTTGCCTTGATAGTTTAAAAGTTTAGAACGTTATATGGAATACAAGAGATCCAAGTTTGACTTCTGGTCGAGATAACATTTTTCGCAATTTTATTTACAGTTTTTCAGTACATTAACAACTTTCTAATAGGATGCCAGATTAAGCATCAAATTATTAAATTGCTTATCAATTTCATTTGTAATATTACTATAGTAATTTGATTGCGTTTATAAGTTCGAAAAATTATTTCGGCGCGCAGTTTAAATAACTACATATTTAGTATATAAATTCACATAGAAATTATTTAAAAAGTATCTAAGAAAGTATCCAGCTTCGATAATAAGTATTAAATTCTTACTTGTTGAAATATTAAGTATTTTCAAGTTTTAAATTTTAAATTGTCATAGTTTCATGTTGAAGAAGAAATTTAGATCAAGCCAGATTACATACAATCATCAATTCTTCGATGGAACAGTATTTTTTACCTATTATATGCCGAAGTCTTTCGTGAAATTCTACATAAATAATCTTCCGTTGTGTACAAAATTAACATATTTTCCTATTCCTTTGAGAAGTTTGAGAGAATGGTTCCCCTTCCCCCACCCCGATGTAAACTAGAATCCGCTAATGAACAATGAAATTGCCTGCGTAGATATCAGCGTTGGAAAAATCCTCTCGATGCAAATCTGTCGTTAATGAATTTTGTAATTATTGTTTTCACAATCTTTTCCTATCTAGGATGTACTATCAAATTAATCGAGAAAAAAAGAAAAGGACCCTGCACTAATTATGTGGAAAAATGAGTTCCGGTGAAATAAATTAAATATTTTTGTATAATACTGTAACTTGCGGTGAACAAAAGATATTTTAGACACAAGGCCCAATAATGGATAATTTTTAAAGTGTATCAAAAATGCTTTGGGTTTTTACACTCTAAAAATTTCTTGCAGTAGAATCTCACTTCAAGAGAGTGAAAATACGACCATCTTTGAGAAAAAGTAAAAATATTTTATTTCTTGAAAAACTTATAGATATATCTTTGATACGTCATAACTCAAAAACTATTCATTATTGAGTCTTGTATCTATCTTTTGTTCACCGCAAGTTACATATTTGTGAAGACTAACTTATTTCATCGGAATTTAATTTTCCATATGATTAGTGCGGTTTTTTAGAAAGTGGACATTGTAGATAAGTATTCAAAGAATTAATTAAATTGCTAATGTTTCTGTATTTAATTCTTTTGTGAAAAATTTATATGTAAAATAATTATTTTTTATATATTAACGTAAAATAATTAATATTAATAATTAATTAATGTTTCCTTTCGTCAAATATTGAAGTCATAAAAAAATGAAACATCTTGGAACTTAAGATTTACCTTCACACGATATCGTTGTCGTACTTCGGTCCGTGTCTTGGGACATCTCGGGGGAATTTGTAAACACCAAGTGAATGAGTTGACCACGACTGGCTCGGTGTAAGTCTCGTACGACGTAACTGTGTAACTGTAACATATGATTGATTAACCACTGGTTTCGCGATTCCCTTATCGAGTTTATAGTGATATGTGGCGAGGTGTGAATAGAATATAACAATGATTTATGTACATAGGTATTATGCATACCAACTGCATTGTTAAGGCTTCTGGATAAAGGTCTTTTAAAAAAGTATCGAACTACTATTACTCGAAAATGGAATTACCGTTTAAGCCAATTTTAGACGA